CCTTGTGCATGTTAGGCAAGCGAGCTCTTGTGCAGCCCCGCCCTGAGACCAAGCTTGTCTCACCGCCCCCCCCCCTTTCCTGACAGCTCACAAAATGGATCATGTTGCCCCTTAGTGTTGAGGTGACCATCTAGTGTTCACCTGCCCCGAGGGAGAAAAGCAAAGGAAAATGCTGTCTGTGCCACCGAGGTAGCTACGCGAAAGTCATCTCATTGTCCTTTCCTGAAGCTGCTGTCTCTAAAAGTGCCATCTCATTGTGCTTTGTATCCGTCAGTGCTGGAGAAATCTTGAATAGCTCATGTAAAAAAAAAACTTTTTAAATTTTATATTATTTTGAAATTTTGCTTTTGCGGGGGTTGGGTTATCTCGGTCAACCCATTGGCTGTGAGAATTGTTCGCAGGCCGTGGGCTGGTGGTGTGCTGATCTTTCGAGTGCCCCCACCCAGTTGCCACGTTCGGGCGGTCTCTCCGAGGCCTCTCAGGTGGACGCTGCAGCTTACTGGCTCATTTGTGCTCTCCTGTCGGGAGAAAGAACCCACAGTGCAACCGTTTTGATACTAATAACAACAAGTGACGTTTTGAAATAAAGAACCAGTCCCTCCACCCTCAGACCGGCTTGACTTTATTAAATCAAATGTGCTTTCTCCACAGGGCTATACAGACGGGGTTGCAAATCAGGTCTTGGTGGTTGAAAGCTGCAGGATTTAACATAGAGCACACACATTGGAAGCAGACATAAAATAAAGGTGGCTTCCGAATGTGACTGGGGGTTTGGGAGATGTCACTCATGGTAGAGGTAGGTGACTTGAGTTCCGCCTCCAGCACCCATGTAAGAAGCTGAGCACAGCACATCGTCTGGAGTCCTGGCCCACCAGCCAGGTAGAGAGGAACATCCCTGGGGCTCCCTGGCCAGCCACTTAGCCAGATCACTAAGCTTCAAGTTCAGTTTAGATACTGTCTCAAATGGTCGGACATGGTGTCGTGTCTTTAACCCCAGCACTCGGGAGACAGGGGCAGGCGGATCTCTGAGTTCGAGGCCAGCCTGGGCTACAGAGTGAGTTCTAGGAAAGGCGCAAAGCTACACAGAGAAACCCTGTCTCGAAACAAAAAGACTTGTCTCCAAAAATACAAGGTGGCTGGCTTCTGTGGGGGAGGAGGGCTGAAGCGGGGGTGGGGGTGGGGGGGTGTTTCCTAGCACAAGTGATGACTGGGCCATCTGTAACTCCAGTTCCAGGGTGGCTGAGGGCTTCTGCACATGTGTTCCACTTAAACTCTTGAAAACTCACACAGGCACATTAAAAAAAAAATTAAAACAAGCTGGGCAATGGTGGCACACACCTTTAATCCCAGCACGCAGGAGGCAGAGGCAGGCGAATGTTTGAGTTCGAGGCCAGCCTGGTCTACAGAGCGAGAACCAGGAAAGGCTCAAAGCTACACAGAGAAACCCTGTTAAAAAAAAAAATTTTTTTTTTCTTCTGTTTCATGAGACAGAGTTTATGAATAGACCTGGTTATCCTGAAACTCACTCTGGCTGCAAACATAAAGGTCCACCTGCCCCTGCTGATTCCCTAGTGCTGAGGTTAGAAGTGGATTAAAAGGGTTTCCACTGGTCAAAAAAAATAAAATAAAAATTTTTTAAATTTAAAGTTAAGGTAGTATTTCAGGAAGACCTCCAAGGTTGACCTTTGACTTTACACATTTGCGCACAATATTTCAGCTTTTGTTTTGTGAGATGGTCTCACTATCTAGCCTTGGCTGGTCTGGTACTTAATATGTAGACCAGGCTGGCCTCCAACTCAGAAATCCACCAGTGTCTGCCTCCCAAGTGCTGGGATTAAAGGTACGAGCTACCATGCCCAGCTCTTTTCTTTTTCTTTATTTTTTTTAATTATGAAAAAGGGGGGAGGCTAGAGAGATGGCTCAGGGGTTAAGAGCACTGGCTGCTCTTCCAGAGGTCCTGAGTTCAATTCCTGCACCCACATGGTGGCTCACAACCATCTGTAATGCACGCCACCTCCCCAGCTCTGTTGAGAGGGTTTTGTATGTAGACTAGGCTTCTTGATCCTCCTTCCTCAGCCTACTGATTACTGAGATGATCATGGATGTGTGCCACCACACCCCAGTGAAAGGAAGTGCACCCAGGGAGTGTTTTGCTGAGTCAGGCTGTATGATACAATGGCTTTCCAGGTTCCTTCTGAGGCCAGTGTCTGTTATTTCCTGTGTCGTGGTCTTGAAACGGGACTTAAATCCGATCCCTAGTAAAAAACCATAAACCTTGACTAAGGCCAGCTGTTTATGCTAGAGACTGGAATTTTTATCATTTATAGCCCTAGACTAACGCTGACTGGAAATTACTTGAATTTTTAAAGGTAACTTGTTCTTGTATTTAGTATTAGTAGGTGAGCCCAGGCCCTTGTACATGTGAGCTATGAGTTTAACAGTCTTTCTGACCTAACAATACATGAAGAGTTGAGATGGAAGGCACTGCTTGGTATTTTGGACCTTTCTATCTGGTTCGCTGCTAGTAAAGTTTACCATCAAATATTTAGTAAAGTGGACCTTTGGGTCTGTGCCCAGAATTTACATAATGTTAGCTTTTGGAGCACTTAGAAAGTACCCACAATTCGCCAGACGTTGGTGGTGCAATCCTTAATCCCAGCACTCAGGAGGCAGAGACAGGCGGATCTCTGTGAGTTCGAGGCCAGCCTGGTCTACAGAGCGAGTTCCAGGACAGCCAGGGAGACAGAGAAACCCTGTCTGGGGTTGGGGGGGGGGGGGAGGGAGGGAAGTACCCACAATTCCTAGCAAGAAAGGTACCGCTGACGTCGTGGCTGCGGATTGGTTGGTGGTGGTGCTGGCCTCCAGTAGATGAGTGGGACCGAGACCAAGGCGGTAGCCATGATTGGCCCTAGGGCTCCTGGGCTCCCAAGCTTCGGGCTCCTTTTCTCCTTGACTCCACACCACCTCTTACTGTTTTTAGTTGGGACTTTGGCCAACAAACTCAATGTGCCACAAGTGTTGCTGCCGTTCAGCCGGGAGCCCGGCCGGGTGCCCTTCTTGCTGGAGGCGCAGCGGGGCTGCTACAACTGGTGAGGGGCGCCCGAGTCACGCGATCTTGTCCCCAAGATCAGTGGAGAGGGAAGGGATTACAGGAGTGTGGTGTGGTCCCGCCGGGTGGAGGGGCCTTAACGTTGCATCCTTGGGTGGAATGTACCCTAAATTGTGAGGCCCTTTAAGAGGCTAACTAGGATGGGAGTCTGGTTGCCTCCCCGTTGAGACAGCTAGTTAGTTGTCGGCACCGGCGAAGCCCTATGTCCGACACAGCCGGCATTCATTTCCCCCAGTTTGTGGGGTTTGCAGGGAAACAGAAACAGGTGAAGTGAGACCCACATTTGAAGGCTGAGAAGGACGACAGAACTGGACTAACAAGACACGGTTCATCACGCTGGAGATGAGATCTGCCTGGGTGATAGGAGAGCGCCCCTCCCCCTGGGCAATTGAAGTGGGCCGATTCCGGGTAGTCAATTCTGGGCTAACGACCTTCCTGACTATAAGAGAACCCAATGGCAGGTCATGTGCTTTCCTGAATTGTAAGGGATCTTAACTAAAGTAAGCCTCTAGGTGCCAGAACATTTATCCTAAATGGAAGGGATTTCCTCTTCCTGTATCTGCAGATCGGAGGGTTGGACTTCGGCTTTGCACATGCTAGGCAAGCCCTCTGCTGAGGAACTACATCCCTAGACCCTTCCCCACCTTGTATGAGAAGCAGTGAGGCTTTTTATCCCTGAGTACAAGAATTTCAACTCATTTCATGAGGAAATATAAGGAACTTAGGCTTGGAGAGGACCCAGTGCGATGGCCGTTATTCAGGAATCGTCCTAGTACTGAGAGCTTTCCATTCATCCAAGACGCTAAGGATTATTTTGTGTTTTTGTTTGGTCTCAGAAAGTAGGCAACTTTTCCATCTTAGACAGCAGCTCAAGTTCTAGGCCTACAGGAAATTATTTCTCAAGACATAAGAGGAGGCCCCATCTTGTCGGAAACACAGCCTCAATGTTACTCTCCCACAGCGTGAGTCTTTTGTTTTACTTTGTTTTGTTTTTGAGACAGGGTTTCCCTGTGTAGCCCTGGGCCGGCCAGGAACTCACTCTGTAGACCAGGCTGGCCTCGAACTCACAGAGATCCACCTGCCTCTGCCCCACAAGCCCTGGAATTAAAGGCGTGCGCCACCACCGCCCAGTGTGAGTCTTTTTTTTTAACATCCTGGGAGGAATATAACATTGGAGATCTTTGCACAAGAGCAAAGGTTCTGACCGCTCTCCCGTTTTCTATTCTTGTGTCCTCCGACAGTACTTCTCTCTTCGCTTGTCATTAGGCATTCCTAGCAGTATGTAACACAGGAGACGTGCAGACGTTTCTTTCAGATGTCCCCTTGACCGACGCATTTCATGCCCTTGACCGTTCTGTTTCGGCAGGCATTCTACTCATCACGATGCGGTTACCATTGAGCCCTTGTACGAAAAGGGCGCCTCTTGTTCCCAAAGAGCTGTTCTTGTCGCTGAATCCACCCAGCCAATCCGCCTCAGCAGCACCATTCTCGCGCGAGAAGAAGGTATGTCATGGGATTTGTTTGTTTGGTTTTTGTGGCTGCTGTTCCTTGAGACAGGGTCTCACTATGTAGCCCTGGCTGGCCTAGGCCACCCCAGTGCTAGGATCAAAGGTGGGCACCACCGTGTCCAGTCATTTCTTTGGAGTTTTGAGACAGGGTCTGCCTGGGCCTGGGACACACTGTGTGTTCACACCTGGTACACACCAGGCTGGCCTTGAACTCGTAGGTCGTGCGTGCATTACCCTCCTGTGTGCTGAAATGAAAGACGTGCATTGCCGTGCCTGGCAAGAAAAGGGCATGTTAAGAGCAAAGATGAATAAGATAACGTCTTGTACAAATGATCAACACAAATGTTTTTGGCTTCAAGTATTAAAAACTTAAAGAAAGAAGATTTCTGATATAAATCATAATTCTGTGGGCCAGTGAGATAGCTCAGCGGGTAAAGGCACTTGCTGTCAAGCCTGACGACCTGAGGCAGGAAGAAAAAACCAAATCCTAAATGTGGTCCTCTGATCTCTGAGGGGAGCAGGCAAAAAAGCACCTTGTCCAGAGTACTGCCATTTTGACTTCAGACTCCATTTTACTTGTAGGGTGAACCAAAGTTCAAGTTCCCAAGCCCTAGGGGAACTGGGAACTTTCCAATGGCTGACCCACCTCCTCCTCAGACAATAGAAACAGTCCATTGTCCCCCTAGTTCTCTAAAACATTATGGCTGTTCCTAACAACAGAAGGAACAGATGCATCGGATTGGTTGGACATTCTGTGTTGATTGACAGTGGTGGAACACAGGGAAAGTCCCTAATCTCTGGCTCCTGACTGGGGAAAAATAAAACTGTAACCTGGCAACAAATGTTTCTGGTTTTTCTGCTTATAAACCCTACTTCTGTCCCTGCTTGGAGCTGTCAAGAGAAACAAGGCCCCCGAGTCCTTGTCCTGATCGATCAGGGCTGCAATGATTGATCAGCGATCTGCTTCTATGGTGGTGGATTAAAGTCTTTGGAATCCCTAAGTGTTGTCTCTCTCCTTCCTCATGGTACACACAGACGGGTGTGACGTCTCCACATGTGCACGATGACATGCTTGTGTGTGCAAACACACGTGGACAGTGAATATAATTTAAAAACAACAGCATAATTTTGCCATCCTATTTATTTTTTGTTTTGAGTGTTTGATCGTTTTTGAGACATGGTCTCACTTTTATAGGCCAGGTTTTCCCCAAACTCATAGATATCCACCTGCCTCTGACTCCCAGGTTCTGGGTAAAGGTTTTAGGTTAAGTGTGCCGTACTTAACCTAAAAACACTTTTTTTCGTTACATTTATTTCTGTGTAGGGAGGGGGTGTGTATGAAATGGCGTGTATGTAGAGGTCAGAGAACAACTTTTAGGAGTTAGCTCTTGCCTTGCACCATATGGGCCCCCAAAATTGAGCTCAGATTGTCAGGTGTGGGAGCAGGTGCATTTACCTGCTAAGCCATCTCACAGGTTCTGACTGTGCATTTGTGTGTGTGTGTGTGTGGTTTTTGTTTTTTGTTTTTGAGACAGGGTCTCACTGTGTAGCCCTGGCTAGCCTGAAATTCTCTATGTAGACTATGTGGCCTCAAACTCACAGAGATCTTCCTGCCTCTGCCTCCCAAGTGCTGGGATTGAAGATATGCACTGTAACAGCCTTGGCTGTCCTGGAACTCACTCTGTAGACCAGGCTGGTCTCGAACTTACAGAGATCTGCTTGCCACTACCTCCTGACTCCTGGGTTTCTTTTTGTTTGTTTCAGTTTCATTTTTGAGACAGGGTCTCTTAGTCTAGGCTAGCCTTGAACTCCTGGTGATACTCTTTTGCCTTGGCTTTTTAATCACCAAGATTTCAGAGTGCATAATGGTGTGTGTGTGTGTGTGTGTGTGTGTGTGTGTGTGTGTGTGTTGCATACATGTTCATGTGGAGGCCAGAGCTTAGCTTCTGGTGTCTTTTTCAGTGGCTCTTCATCTTTTTTTTGAAGCATGGTCTCTCCTTGAATCAGGAACTCCATGTTTAGGGTAGGCTGCCTGGCCAGTGGGCCACCAGGATTGCCTGTCTTCACTTACCTAGCCCTGGGCTACAGAGGTGTGCCACACTAGGCCTGGTCTTCATGTGTGTGAAACAATCATTTTGCTCACTGAGCCATTTTCCCAGACAGGGTCTCATGTAGCACAGGCTGCCCTGGAACTCACTATGTAGTTGACACTGGCCTTGAACTCCTGGTCCTTCTGCCTCCCACTTCCTAGGTGCTGAGGACCCAGGAGCACACCACCACAACTGACATCTCAGTAGCTTTTGACATTTTAAAGTGTGTTGGGGAGCCAGGCTCAGTGGTGTGGACTTGTTACCCCAGCTGTCGGGAGATGGAGGTTGAAGGATCACGGGTTCAAGGCCAGTATGGGCTATTCAGCCTTAAAATTAAAAAGAGAGCGAGAGATATAGGTTAGCGGCCGAGAGCTTGCCTCCTGACATGTGTGAGGCCTTGTGCTCAGTCCCCAGTACTAGTGTTGGTCAGCTGTCCCTCAGTTTGGGTTTGTCTGATGGTTTGGATTATAGGTTTTTCTTGGGGGCGGGGTTGGGGGTGAAGAGCCTTTGCTCTGCATCGTGTGCCAGAGTGTGTGGTGCCAGTGGCTGGGTTTCCACTCGATTCAGATGGTGTCCGTCTGTGAAGTTCCTGTTCCCCCCTTCCTTTACGCTAGTCATGGAAAACGATCACTGAGTCCAGCCCCAGAAGCAAAGGAGAAAGATTTAAGCCCCACCTTGGAGGGAGACTTGTCAAAGAGCTTGTGGTGATATATTAAGTACCACAATAGCTAGTAAATATTTGGGGAAGATACTTTGATACATCCCATCACTCCTTAAAGGTTTCACCCACTGATGTTATCACATATGCATCGGTTTTAAAGAAAGATTGTATTTTTTTTTTTTTTTTTGTTCCAGACAAGGTTTCTCTGTAGCTTTGGAGCCTGTCCTGGATCTCACTCAGTAGACCAGACCAGGCTGGCCTCGAACTCACAGAGATCTGCCTGCCTCTGCCTCCCGAGTGCTGGGATTAAAGGCGTGCGCCACCACCACTCAGCCAGATGGATCTTTTTGTTCCTTTGGTTGGTTTCGAAACAGGTTATCTCACTGTGTAGCCCAGGCCAACCTGGAACTTCTAGCAGTCCTCCTGCCTCTGTCTCCCAGTTGCTGGGACTTTGGGTGTGTACACCACACCTGTCCTCCATGAGTCTTAGCTGTGATGCTCAGATGGTTACTTTTCCCCCTCTCCCCCATCTCTTCTATATTTAGTATTGTGAAAGAGGAAAGGCATCTTACGTCTTACACATAACGTCTTCTTCCCATTGAATAACTTACTCGGTTATTTATATCAGTATGGACTCAGCTGTTGGGGACAGGGTGATAATCCAATTCTGTGTGTCCTAGTTAGCTTTAACTGTCAGCTTGACACAGCCCCAGCGAGTCACCTGACAAGGGAATCTCAACTGAAGGATAGCCTAGATCAGATTGTCCTGTCTGCGGGGGAATGTCTGGGTTGTTAAGTGACGGATGAGGGTCCAGTCCAATGTGGGGGACACTATTCCCTGAGCAAATGGTCCTGACCTCTATATGAGCCTGCAAGTCAGCCAACAGTCCATGTTCCTGTATGATTTCTGGTTCAAATCCTACTTGAGTTCCTGCTTGGACTGTTCTCAATGATGGATTTCAGCCTATACGATGAAAAAAGTCTTTTCTGCATTTTGGTCACTTTGGGTTTGGTGCTTGTCACGGCAATAGGAAGAAAACTAGACTACTGTGGCAATTCATCTTTTCCACTTGTGGTATCCTGCAGGTTGGCTCCGGTGTCCTTTGGACGTGCCCTTATTTTCGCTATTTCCTTATAGTACTTCCTTTTTTTTTTTTTTTCCAGATAAGGCCTCCTGTAACCACGCTGGCCTCTGATTCACTATATGGCTAAGCATGATCTTGAACTTCTGATCCTTTTGCCTCCGCCTTCCCAGTCCTGGGATTACAAGTGAGCACTGCCATGCTGTGTTTATGCGCTGCTGGAGACCACGCCCCAGGCTTCCTCCGTGCTCATCAGGCTCTCTACCAACCAAGCCACGCCCTCAGCCCAGCACTTCCTTGCTTTTGAGCTCTAGAGTTATATTTAGACCCCACGATGGAGATGCTAGTGTGCTTGTTGCTAAGGGAGTGTCCCCGTTTCTAGGTTCTCTTAGCAGACAGAGCTAAGAAAGAACCGTGCACATGCCAGCCTATGTGTGTGTACACCCATCTCTGTTTATTTCTGTATGTATCTAGCTAAGTGTGTGTGTGTGTGTGTGTGTGTGTGTGTGTGTGTGTGTGTGTGTGTGTGTGTGTTAAAAGAAATGTGAGTTCATAGTGATCGCTTTAACTCTAATCTGGGCTTATTCTAGACTTTTCTCCTTTGTTTATTTGTAACTTTGCTCTCAGAAAGACAGACCTGGGCTGGTGAGCTGGCTCAGTAGGTGATCTAAATTTGATCTCTGGGACCCATGTCAAGGTGGAGGGAGAGAATGGATCTACAAAATTGTCCACTAACATCCACATGCCTGCTATGGCATGCATGTACACACACATTTACACACACACACACACACACACCCCTCTTTGAATTCCCAGCCAGCCAGGTCTGCACAGTGAAACCCTGTCTTAAGAAAATAAATCAACTAAAGACGAAACAAAAAAGTTCAGAGTTCAAGGGAGGGGAAACAAAAACCAACCAAACAAAACCCTTGAGGGCTGGTCGGATGGTTCAATGGGTAAAGGTTCCTGCTGCCAAGCCTGATGGCCTGAGTTTGATCCCTGGGACCCACAGGTGGAATGGAAAGAGCTCACTCTCTCAAGTTGTCTTCTGACCTCTACACACAGGTTAGAGGCTCATTAATACAGTTTTCATATGGTACCGCCACCTTACTTTTCTAAATAACTTTAAAAAAACCTATTAGCCTCATTTTATAAAAAATTTTAAAAATGCCACTTAAAAAGACAAGGAATAAAGCAAGTCCCTCGAAAGTGACACACGGCCCTGGGTTTTCTTTTCTGTGACAGGGTCTTAACTGTGTAGCAGCCCAAGCTGGCTGAACAAGCAGCAGTCTTCCTGCCTTGGCCTCTAAGATGCCAGGATTACAGATGTTGGCCACTGCAACCAGCGTATCTTTTAGGCCTTTTTGGATTAGGTAGGAACTAACTTGGCATACAAGAAATGGTGGCGCACGCCTTTAATCCCAGCACTTGGGAGGCAGAGCCAGGCGGATCTCTGTGAGTTCGAGGCCAACCTGGGCTACCAAGTGAGTTCCAGGAAAAGGCGCAAAGCTACACAGAGAAACCCTGTCTCGAAAAACCAAAAAAAAAAAAAAAAAAAAAAAAAAAAGAAATGTTATCATATAATTCTGCAGGGAATCAGGGATGGGCCTGATACACAGCTCTTAGCGGAGGAGCATCTCTCCAGCCCCAGAACGAACACTTAAAGCTGCTCTCTGACCTTGAGAAAACAAATTAAGTGCACTGGCTGCTCTTCCAGAGAATTCTCAGTTCGCAGCATCCACATGGTGGCTCACAACCTACAACTCCAGTTCCAGGGATCCAATGCCTTCTTCTGGCCTCCTAGGGCACTGCATGAACATAGTGCATAAACATACATGCAGGCAAAACACCTATACGCAGAAAATAAAATTTAAAAAAAAGGTTGGTTCTCCATCCTCAGGCTTGGCGGGACATTTACCCCCAGAACCCTGTCATGAAACAAAAGTTCCTTTTTTTTGTCTTTTTGAGACAGTCTCTCCACATAGCCCTGGCTGCTGGCCCTTTTATAACCTTGAAACTCTTGAATATTTGAGACATTTATTAGATTGGTGACAGTTGACTTAGTCAGTCAGCTTTTTGTTCCCTTGCAGTGACTGACCACGAACTACGCTGTGATGTTAAGGTTGATGTGATAGACAGCATTGAAATTGTTTCTCGAACCCGGGAGCTGTATGTGGACGATGCACCCCTGGAACTGATGGTGAGGGCCCTGGATGCTAAAGGTAAGGGGACTGGAGATGGTCTGAGAAACCGTGTACCTAAAACAGAGCAGTACTCCTTCACACTGGGCTCGGAAACAGGAACCGTGTGATGGTGGCAGGCTGTGAATGCGACCTGTTCGCTCACCAGGGACTCACACGCAGGAGGGTTGCCAGTGCAGGGTGCAGTTCAATGTATGAGCTGCAAAAAAACTACTGCTGTTATTTTTTTGTTAATTCTGGACTTTAAAAGAAATTAGTTCTGGCTAGGGGAGATAGCTCTGTGGTTAAGAGCACTGGCTGCTCTTCCAGAGGACCCAGGTTCAATTCCCAGCACCCACATGGCAGCTCACACCTGTCTGTAACTCCAGTTCCAGGGGATCCGACATCCTCACCACACAGACATACATGTAGGCAAAACACCAATGCAAATGAAAATAAAATTAAAAAAAGAAGAAATTAGTATGAGGGTGGGGCCTGTGTATCATGTATTACACAGGGAAGTCATAGTACAACGTGTGGAAGTCAGTTCTCCCTCCGCGAGGGTCCTGGTGTAGAAGTCAGTTCTCTCCTCCTACCGCGAGGGTCCTGGGGCAAACTCAGGTCCTCAGGCTTGGCGGCCATCTCACTAGCGCTGACTTTTGTTTTGTTTCGAGACAGGGTCTCACGCTATATCCCTGGCTGTCCTGGAACTCACTCTGTGGACCAGGCTGGCCTCCAACTCACAGAGATCTGCCCACTACCGCCTCCAGAGCGCTGGGATTAAAGGCGTGCGCCACTGTGCAGGGACGAGCTTTTTTAAAGTATTGACATCTGCCACTGAGCTTCTATCAATGGTCCCCAGATCAACAATTAAGGATATATTTTAAGATTTATTGCGGGGCGGTGGTGGCACATGCCTTTAATCCCAGCACTTGGGAGGCAGAGGTGGGCGGATCTCTGTGAGTTTGAGGTCAGCCTGGTCTACCGAGTGAGTTCCAGGACAGGTGCCAAAGCTACACAGAGAGACCTTGTCTCAAAAAACCTACATAAATAAGGACAGCCTGTTGGGAATAGCACTTACATTGTCATGTGAAGATCTTTCTCATGTGTGTGTTTAAATCAGTTAATAAAGGTTTTGATATTTGTTTTGTTACAGAAAAAGACTTAAAGTGATTTTTCTGGTTAGTCCCTTTCTTGTTGAAGATACTTGAATGTTTTGGAATATGTGATTCTATCTTGCCTGCTTTTGGCTTCCTCTACAGGAAACACATTTAGTACTTTGGCGGGCATGGTGTTTGAGTGGAGCATTGCCCAGGATAACGAGTCAGCAAGAGAAGAGCCGTCTAACAAAATTAGGTAAAGCTGGAGCCTGACGTACCACCTGTCTCTGGAGGAGATGTGTCTCCTTGCGACACTCTGGACAGCAGCCACCTGTGTGGACTTTGATAATCCTATTGTCTGGTTTTTGTTTGTTTGTTTGTTTTTGTTTTTGTTTTTATTTTTAAACAGATATATTCACTAGGGCAAATTATTTTTGGTAGAAAACAGAGGAGATAAATGTGGAAACCTTCATGAGAGTTCATTTGAGCCTCTGTGAACTCAGGCTGTCTGCACATGCTAAAATTGTGTGGGATAATTAGCCGGGGATGTTGGCAAGTACCTTTAAACCTAGCAGTCAGGAGGCAGAGGCAAGCTGATTTCTGTGAGTTCAAAAATAACTTGGTTTACACAGTGAGTTCCAGACCAGCCAGGTCTACACAGTAGAGCCATCTTGAAAAAAAAAAAAAATTAAACAACAAAAGGATTCTGTTTTTAGTACCAAAGAACAGATCACAGACAGCCTAAATTGTAGTCATATAGTCTTAGCCATAGGCTAGCCCTTCTGGAAGTCAGAAATTAAAAAACTCAAACAAGGCTCAATGGCACAGAACTATAATGGGGGGGGGGGCGGGGAGGGGGGTGGAGTGGGATGCTGAAGCAGGGGGATTAGAAATTCAGGGTGAGCAGGGCAGTAGTGGCTCACACCTTTAATTCCACCACTGGAGAGGCAGGTGGATCTCTGAGTTCGAGGCCAGCCTGGTTCCAGGACAGCCAGGGCTACACAGAGAAACCCTGTCTTAAAAAAAGAAGAAGTAGTAGTAGTTCAGGGTGAGCCTCTGCTACATAGCAAATTCAAGTTAGAGGCCAGTCTGGGTTAGTTACATAAGACGCTGTTTCAAAAAGCCCACAAACAAGCAAAGGTATTTCAAAGCTGTCTGCACAGACAGGCTTTATAAAGACTGAAGTATAGAAGACTGTTAATTCTACTAGAGACAAATCTTTTTTTTTAAAAGGAATTTTTAAATTAATTTTATATACCTGGCCAGGCAGTGATGGCATACACCCTTAATCCCAGCACTTGAGAGGCAGAGGCAGGCAGATCTTTGTGAGTTCGAGGCCAGCCAGGTCTACAGAGTGAGTTCCAGGACAGCCAAGGCTACACAGAGAAACGCTGTCTCAAAACACAAAAACAAAAACAAAACAAAAGAAAGAAAGAAAGAAAGAAAGAAAGAAAGAAAGAAAGAAAGAAAGAAAGAAAGAAAGAAAGAAAGAAAGAAAGAAAGAAAGAAGGAAAAAGAAATCATTTTACATACCAATCACAGATCCCCTCTCTTCCCGCCCCTCCCACCTCCCTCCCCAACCCTCCCCATTCCCTCCTTCAACAAGGCAAGGTCTCCCATGGGGAGTCCTCAGAGCCTGGTACATTGTGTAGAGGCAGGTCCAAGCCCCTCCCCCTGCACCAAGGCCGTGCAAACTGTCCCACCATTGGTAGTGGGCTCCAAAAAGCCAGCTCATGCACCAGGGATGGATCCTGACCCTACTGCCAGGGGGCCCCTTAAGCAGATCAAGCTACTCAACAGTAGAGACAAATCTCACTTTGTATCCAGGATCCTGAAATTCTCGGAAGCAGAGTATTCTCCCCCTGACTATATAGCTGAGATGGAAAAAGAAGAGAGACAAGGAGACATGATTTTGGTGTCTGGGATGAGAACTGGAGCTGCTGTTATAAGAGTCCGAATTTATGAGCCGTTCTACAAGGTAAACAGTCTGTGCTAGAAGCAGCCATCTGAAGTCCTGCCCATGGGGAATACAGTAGAAGCCTCTAACTTGCTATTGTCTGGGCCAAGAGTTGATCGTTTATTTGAAAAAGCCACTTCAAACCTGCAGTGGTGGCGCACACCTTTAATCTCAGCACTCAGGAGCCAGAGGTAGGGGGATCTCTGTGAGTTTGAGGCCAGCCTGGTCTACATGGTGAATTCCAGGCCAGCCAGGGCTACATAGTGAAACTCTGGTGCCAAAGATCAAACCCATGCCCTCCACATGATAGGCAAATGCTTCACCACTGAGCTATCACATGTCCTGACATTCTCTTTTAAAAATAGCTAACTTTTTGTGTAAGTCCAAGGGTCTGCTTTTTTTTTTTTTTTTTTGAGATAGGGTCTCTATGTTGTCTTGGCTGGCCTAAAGCTCACTATGTAGACCAGGCTGGCCTCCAGCTTACAGAGGCCCTCTAGCTTTTGCCTCCTGAGTACTGGGATTAAAGGTGTGCGCTACCATGCCCCATCTAAAGCTTTTCTTGTTTAAATTTTTTAAAAATTATTTTAGGTTTAAAATGATGAGTGTTTGCCCGCACGTGTGCCTCATGCTCTTGGAAGACAGAGGGAGCTGGAAGAGGGCATCAGATGCCCAGGAACTGGAGTTACAGTGGATTCTGGACATTGAACCCAGGTCCCCTGCTTGAACAGCTAGTGTTCTTCACCACCGGACATCCATTTTTCAGTAGAGGAAACATTTATTTTGGCCACTGTTTAATTGGTTTTAGTCTCCAGTCAGCTGACTCCATTTCTGTAGCCTGGATGAGGCAGAACACCTTGATAGAAGATTGTGGCAAAGGAGAATGTAGTTGTTGTTTTTTTTTTCACTCTTTGGAACCCCAGCTCCCAAATAAATACATGGAGACTTGTTCTTAATTATGAATACCTGGACTTAGCTTGGCTTATTTCTAGCCAGCTTTTCTTAAATTATCCTGTCAACCTTTTGCCTCTGAGCTTTTTACCTTTCTTTATTCTATATATTTTCTTCCCTTCTTACTCTGTGGGTGGTTGTGTGGCCGGGTGCCTGGCCCCTGGCGTCCTCTCCTTCTCTTTTTGCTCTTCCTTTTTTCCTTTTCTTTCAAGTCCAGATTTCTCCTCTTATTTATTCTCTCTGCATGCCAGCCCCGCCTAGCCTTTCTCCTGCCTAGCTATTTATTGGCCGTTCAGCTCTTTATTAGGCCAATCAGGTATTTTAGACAGGCACAGTAGCACAGCTTCACAGAGTTAAACAAATGTAACATGAAAGAATGCAATGAATCTTTGCATCATTAAACAGATATTTCACAGCATAAAAAAAAATGTAGCATATCTTAAACTAATATTCCACAACAGGAGAAAACTGCTTACTTATGGCAACTGGGTGTGAGAGAGAGACAGTAAGACAGCGCTCCATCTTATGTTTTGAGTCAGGGTCTCTCCTGTTTGGCCAGCTGGTGACTTCCAGGGAATCTCCTTTCTCTACCTCCCCAGCACTGGGATTACAGGAATGTGCCACTGATCCTAGCTTTTATGTGGGTGCTAGGGGTCAAATTTAGGTCACCATGCTTGTACATCAACACTCTACTGACCCAGCTTTCTCCTCTAACAATGTTTAACCTCGGGTCCAGCTTAGAAATCCAGGTGGTCGACTGCACAGTAAGTTTGGTTATGGAATCATACATAGTGAGAGCCCATCCAAAACAACAACAAAAACACAAAAGAAATGTAGACACTCTGTCTTGCATAAATTGCCGTTGGGAACTTTATCTTTCGTGGTCAAGTGAAAATGCAGAACTGGGAGAGGGCCATGGCACATGGGGTGCGGCATCTTGCAAGAATCCCGGTCTTTTCTGTTCTCACCTGCGTTTGATATGCTGGCCCTTATTAGTGACTTGCTGTTGACTTCTTTTTTTCTTCAAACTTCTGTTTTAAACATTTAAAAGTGTATTTATTTATTTGTTAGTGGCCCTTATGCGAAGGTCAGAGGATGGTGTTGGGGAGTCTGCCCTCTCTGCCCACCTTTGTGAGGGATGAAGAGATCAAACTTATTTCCCCTGGACTTGCTTGACAGGAGCCTTCACCCACTGGGCCAGCTCTCAGCTTCAACGAGCCTCTTTAATCCCTAGTTTTGGGGCAGTGTACTTATATTGTACAAATATTGATTGATTGATTGATTGACTTGCTGTGTATGTTTTTGTGTTGACATGTGTGGATGCCAGAGGGTGATGTTAGGGCATCTTTCCTCAATCGTTTCTCCACCTTATTTTTTGAGACAGGGTCTCTCTCCCTGAGACTAGCGCTCACTAGGTTGGCTAGACTAGCTGGGCCCAGCAAGGCCCAGAAATTCTGTCCCTAGCTCCCCAGCTCTCTACCTCCCCAGCTCTGCGTTTCATTGTGCCCACCTGTTTTACATGCATCCTGGGAACCGAACTGAGATCCTCAAGTTTGCAGAGCAGGCATGTAGCAACTGAGCCTTCTCCCAGCCCCTGGCTTTAGGGGGTTTTGTTTTGTTGTTCTTTTTAAGACAGGGTCTCTCTTTGTAGCTCTGGCTGTCTTGAATTCACTATGTCCACCAGGCTAGCCTGAAACTCACAGAGAGCCTCATGCCTCTGCCTCTCAGATGCTGGGATTAAAGGCGTGCGCCACTGTGACCTTAGCTTTTTGAGACAGTAGATCTTCCTTTGTAGCCCAGGCTGATCCTCCAAGCCCAACCACCCTGGTACTGGGATTGCATGCGTGTCCTCTCCCACTAAGCTCTCCCCTCAACTCTGTTTACTGATGTTCGTGCAGGTCTTCCTGTGGTGTGTTTGCACTGGCGTGTTTGTCTGTGTGTTTGTGAAGACCAGAGGTCAACCTTGATCCCTTCAGGAGCCACCCTCCTTATTTTTTGAGTCCGAGTCTCTCAGTGGGACCCAAGGCTCACCGATTAGGTTGTGCCTGGGGATCCAGGTGTCTCCCCTCCCTGGAGCTGGGGTTACAAACGAGCCACCATGCCCTCAGTTCCTCATGCCTGTCACAAGGACTGCACTGACTGTGCCACCTCCCCAGCTCTGCTTCTGTTTTGGTTCTTAAGGTAGGGTCCCTCTCTGTAACCCAAGCTGGCCTCGGCCTTCTGATCCTCCTGTCTCCACCTCTTAAATGGGGGAATTATAGACTTGTAGCATCATACCCAGCTTCCTGTTGTAATGTGTTTATAAGTTATAGCTAACATACAGTAAGAAAAAAATGACTTTGATAAGCATTTAATTTACATGCCCAAAGAACAACTGTGTGGGCATCCCACTGAGCGGCCCAATAACCTGATCCTGGGTTAGTTTTAATGTGAATCAGGGCTGGAGAGATGACTCAGCAGTTAAAAGCACTGGCTTCTCTTCCAAAGGACCCAGGTTCAATTCTTAGCACCCACATGGCAGCTCACAACCATCTGTAATCTCATTCTCAGGGGATCCAACACCCTCTTCTGGCCTCCAAAGGCACCAGGCACACACATGGTTCACAGACATACACGCAGGTAAAATACCCATGCACATTAAAAATAAACACATACACACACACACACACACACACACACACACACACGCACACGCACACGCACACGCACACGCACACGCACACGCACGCACGCACGCACATGCAGAGCTGGAGACAGGCAGTAGAGAGCTCTTGATTAGTGGACTGCATCTCAGTTAGATGGTTTCATGGCCTCTTTCAGCTTAGCCTGAAATGATTTGTGATTATTAGGAAATATTTTTTGTGATATATATATATATATATATATATATATATATATATATATATATTAAACTTATAAAAAGTGGGCTGATGAGATTTCTCAGTGAGTAAGGGCACTTGCTGCCAAGCCTGACAACCTGCATTTGATCCCGAGGACCCATGTGGCAGAGGAGAGAATGGATTTCTGCAAGTTGTCCTCTGACCTCCAGACATGCCCCGTGACAGCCACATTCCCACACACATAAAAACAAACAAACAAATGTAAAAACTATTGTTTTTAACTTATTAAAAGTAAGCTTTGGTCCAGGTAGTGGTGGTGCACACCTTTAATCCCAGCACTTAGGAGGTAGAGACAGGTGCATCTCTGAGTTCTAAGTCAGCCTGGGCTACAGAGTAAGTTCCAGGACAGGCTCCAAAGCTGCACACAGAAACCCTGTCTCGAAAAACAAACAAACAAACAAACAAACAAACAAACAAACAAACAAAAAGTAAGCTTTGAACAAGGGTGGGATCTTCGATGACTTTTGCCCATGGAAAAATTTTTTTTCTTTCCTCTTTTAGAAAGTGTCAGCAGCCTTGATCCGTCTGCTTGTTCTGGAGAACATATTTCTCATACCGTCCCATGATACGTATCTCTTAGTAGGAGCCTATATTAAATACCAGGTCGCAAAAATGGTTCAGGGAAGAATGACAGGTAAGACTGCTTAGCCTTTCCTAGAATTCACGGTGGCTGAAGGAGGCAGGGCACAAACCACGGCAAAAACCACTTCTTTGTAAAGTTTTGGATCTTGTGATAAAATACTTCTATGTACTGAAGTTGGCATATTTGAAGAGCTTATTGGCATATGTAACTTAGTTAATGACACTGAGCTTCTGCATTTGCATCCACTGTTAACAGCCCAGAATCACCAGCTGATAAGGGAGGAAGTGAAAAGAGCTTATCTGAGGGGTTGGATGACCTTTGTGATGCTCTGTGAGAATTGTTTCTTCATAAGCTCAGTCCCATAGCCACGCTTAATAGCCATGGGCTAGACAAGCCCATTGAATGAATAGTTATATGGACTCGGTTAACTCCGTCCTGTCCATGCTTAGTGGTGACCACCCACCTCACCAGGTTTATTCATTTTGCTGGTGGTATTTTTACAAAGATTTATTTTAATCATAGTTTTATGCATATGTGTGCAATCTGTGTGTGGTTATATGTACATGTGAGTGCAGGTGCACACAGTGTCCTGAAGAGGGCAGTAGATCCCTGGAGCTGGCATTACAGGTGGTTGTGGGCCACCTGAGGTGGGTGCTGTGCACTGAACTCTCATCCTCTGGAAGAGCGAGCTCTTCAGCCCCAGTGGCACCTGGTTTGTTTGTTTCTTTTTTTGAGGTAGGGTCTCTTTACACAGCCCTGGCTGTCCTGGAGCTCACTCTGTAGAGCAGGCTGGCCTTGAGCTCACACAGATCCTCCTGACTCTGCTTCCTGTATACTTGAGTGAAAGGTGTGGATCACCATGCCCAGCTGTTGCTGTGGCTTGAGACGATGTCTCAGGTAACCTCGGGCTGACCTCAAACTCCCCAGGTAACTGAGGCTGGCCTTGAACTCTTGATCTTCCTGCCTCTGCCTTCTAGGGGCTGGGATTACAGGGGTACAGCAGCACACTAGTGGCTCACTAGTTTTCAGGTGTGTAAGTCGGTAGTTGGATCACAGCCCCCCTCCTCTCTGTGCAGACTCACCGTTCGGAAACAGGGATTAGAAGGAGACCCCACTGTTGATTTAAAGGGCTCACGTTCGGTCTCCCTCACACAGTGCACTGGAACACCCCTCTCGTGGGCGGCTCCATGTGTCTGTCTTCCATGTCTTACAGAGGTGAAATTTCCCCTGGAACATTACACGTTGGAATTGCAAGACCACGGAGCTACAAATAACGGGCTTCCTTCTGGGAAAGTGGCTCTACTGGATGAGGAAACAGCCACAGTGACTGCTCTCCAGCTGGGCCAAACTAACCTCATCTTCGTCCACAAAAGTATCCTTTCGTTCACGTTTTTAGTGGCCAATCTAAACTTCTCTAAATATATGAGGCATGGTTCTTGGCAAAATACCTTATTAAGAGTGAGGGGGAGGGCAGGGGAGGTGGCTGGAGAGATGGCTTGGTGGTTAAGAGTTCTTACTGCCATTTCAGAGGACCCGGGTTCAATTCCAGCCTCCACATGGCAGCTCACAACTGTCTGTAACTCCAGTTCCAGGGGATCCAACATCTTCACACACACATGCATTCAGGCAAAACACCAGTGCACATTCAATATATATATATATATATATATGAGTGATTATGGGGTTGGAGAGATGGCTCTGCAGTTAACAGCACTCGCTGGTCTTCCAGAGGACCTGAGTTCAATTCCCATGTCAGGTGGCTCACAAACACCTGTAACTCCAGCTCCAGGGCATCTGCCTTCTTGTAGCCTCTGAGGGTACTGGCACACACACTCACAGCTCTCTCTCCATCTCTCTCTCTCTCTCTCTCTCTCTCTCTCTCTCTCTCTCTCTCTCTCACACAGCTCTCTCTCCATCTCTCTCTCTCCATCTCTCTCTCTCTCTCTCTCTCTCTCTCTCTCTCTCTCTCTCTCTCCACACACACACACACACACACACACACACACACACACACACACACAATTTTCTTTTCTGAGACACAATTTCACTTTCTAATGTTAGGATTATATTCACTTGTCCCCAGCTTCTCGTCACTTAAGGTGTCTAGGGTGTCATACCTGCAGAAGAAACGAGTCTCTGAATGTTTGTCTGCTGGGCACCGTCTGAGTGGCAGGTGTGTCCCGAATTCCCTAGCAGAATTTTATAATTTTTCTTTTTATGCCCAAGTTCCTGACTGATCCAAAAAGGCCCGAAAGACTCAACTAGTTGTGGTAAACACCTGCAATCCTGGCATCTTAGAGGCCAAGGCAGAAACAGCCAGCCTGGGCTGCTATACTGCAAGCCTGTCAAACAAGCAAGCAAACAAACAAATAAATAAAACCCGGCACTAGAGTAAAACCTGGCTCTGTGGTTAAGAGCACTGGCCGCTCTTCCAGAGGACCCAGGTTTGACTACTGTATCCTCATGGTGGCTGTAACTCCAGTTTCAGGGGCTCTGACGACCTCTTCTGGCCTTCCCAGGCACTTGCTTGCACACGATGCACAGACACACTATATAATGCAGGCCCTCATACACATAAAATAAAAATAATAATAAAAGAAAAGAAAAGAAAACTAAAAGACTCTAGTAGTAGGAAGCATTAGCCACGTTGTCAGTAAAAATAGCTCAGTTTTTTTTTAAAAGAAGGAAAGAAAAGCAGGTAGAAATTACCAAAAAGACAGGAAGAGACAGGTCTCATGTAGCCCAGGCTGGCCTCAAACTCATGGTGTAGCAGATGATAACCATGAGCCTTTGATGCTCCTCCTCATCTCCCAGGTGCTGAGGCTGCATGTGTGTCCCACCACTTCCGGTTCTGTGGTGCTGGGGGTGGACCCCAGGGCTTCATCTCGCTGGCAAGCCCTCTAACAGCTGATCCACATCCCCAGCCCGAGAGAACTTAAGAGAAACTTGCAAATGACTGTAAGTTAAAGAGGAGGAAGTTAGAGCTGTGGGGGAACCGAGAGCGGCAAGTTTGCTGATAGGGAAGAAGTGGAGGAGACCCGTGGAGTGTGAGTTAGAAGGCTGTGTCTGTTGTTCTTGGAGCAGGAATGACTGTGTAAAAGCCAGTCTGATGTTCCTTCACCCGTAAAATAAAGGGAAAGTTGCATTTCTGAATTTCACTCTAATACTTACATTTGATGACTATTATATTCAAGTACATATCAGAACCGGCCAAGTCTAGACAGTTGTTTGTGGAGTCTTTAGATTTGCTATAGTGAACAGGTAAAAATAATTACCAATTAGTATGCCAATCACATATATATGTATGTATACATATATAATATGCATGCTTGTATATCATGTGGGCAGGTGCATGAACAATTTTCCATTTGATTTTTGTTTGCTTAATTGGTACTGTTTGTTTGTTTGTTTGTTTGTTTGTTTGTTTTGAAACAGTGACTTGCTATGTAGCCCAGGCTGGCCTAGAACTCACTGAATAGCCCAGGATAGCCAAGGAACTTAAGATCCTCCTACCACCACCCCCTGAATGCTGGAATTGCTGGCCTGTCTCAGTAAACCTACTTAAATATACCTGAAAGACAGACTATTTTCTCTCCTCAGTGCTAAGAACAGAACACAGGTCTCTATATGAGCATTCCACAACTGAGCTGTATCAGTCCTTTTCAGCTTTTACTTATTTTAATTTTTATGTATTGTATTTATTTACTTGTTAACTTTTTTTTTTCCCCACTGGGCCTCCTATGTCCTAGACTTCCTTCAAACTTGCTCTGTGGATCTTGAACTCCTGACACCCCACCTTCACCTTGTGCCTTGTGTGGTGCTGGGCATGAAACCAGGCATGGTGCATTCTGGGCAAGCGCTCTATCTACCGAGAGAGTTTAGGAGTAGTTTGTTTTTGAGAGGAATTGTATTCCTGATTGTATCATGGATGGACGGACATTGGAGCAAATCTGTGTTTCTTCCAGAAAGTAATTAAGTAATTATATTTAACTAGTAGCATATCTAAGTAAACTAGAAGTATTTTAAAAAATTAGATTTGTTTTTGTTTGTTTGTTTTGTTTTTTGTTCTATTCACAGAGATCTACCTGCCTTTGACTATTTTATTTTATTATGTGTATGAATGTTTTGCCTACATATATGTAAATGTACCAAGTGTGTGTCTGATGCCTGAGGAGACCAGAAAAGGGCATCAGATCCCCTAGAACTGGAGTCACAGAGGGTTGTGAGTCACCATGTGGATGTTAGGAATCAAACCCAGGTCCCCTGCAAGAGCAACATGTGCTCTAAACCACAGAGCATCTCTGTAGCTCCTAGAAGTATTTTTGATGGCGAAGAAATAAACAGCTTGGTGTTAAATATCTACTGCAAGTTATAGTAATTTTGAAGCTACAGCGCTCCAGGCATGCTGCTGAGTGGCGACTCTTGGCCCACCTTCCACCCCCACCGCTGTTCATATTTTCAGGAAATGTTTGTCTTCCTCCAGAATGGTACCATGTTTTCCTGCATTCCATAGTGGGCCCTCTATGAGAATTTGTTTGAAGAAATAGTTCTGTAACTAAATGTAATTAAAACCACAGAACATGAACTTCTTTCCATTTCATCTTCCTCAAATCTCTCTCTCTCTCTCTCTCTCTCTCTCTCTCTCTCTCTCTATATATATATATATATATATATATATATATATATATATATGTGTGTGTGTGTGTGTGTGTGTGTGTGTGTGTGTGTGTGTGTTATCTATATGTGTGTCTGTGTACTGTGTGTATGTTCAGTACCTAAAGAGGCCAGAAGAAGGTATCAAATATCTGGGACTGGAGCCACAGACAGATGTGAGAATTGATGTAGGTGCTGGGACCTGAACCCAGGTCCTCTGGAAGACCAGCCAGTGCTGAGCATCTTTCCAGCTCCTGAATGTTTATTACATTTATTTGTGCGTGTGTGTATGTGTGTGCGTGTGTGCGTGCATGCGTGCGTGTGTGTGTGCGTGTGTGCGTGTGTGTGTGGAGTCAAGTGACAACTCTTGGGGGTCAGCTGGCTCCTCCTACCGTGTGGGTCCTGGGGATCAAGCCTGGGTCGTCAGGCTTGGCGGCGGCGGCTGCGTTACTGGTTGAACCGTCTTGTTGGGTCTTCTCAGGCTCTCCTCAGAAGTGTTCATATTTAAATTTTGGCTTTCCAAAGAAAATGTGTGGGGCTTTGTTTGTACATTTATTATTATTTTTTTCTTCAGTGGCTCATCTTTCCTTTTGTACCCAGCATTGGCTCAGATAACTTCCTTAAGCAGAATTAAGATGTCCATATGCGCTCTGTGTCTGGACTCCCAAACTCCACCATATATGTCGTAGAGCCCGGATTTTTAGGTAATTTTAGATAATGGCTTTCAGAGAGTTGAATAATTTAAGTGAATGCATTAAACATAAATGAATTCACTAAAATGAATGTATTAAACATGAAAGGACTGCCAAAGTCAGCCTTCATCCTGAGACTTTGAATTCAGCCTGACTTTGATCTGTTTTCTTTCTTTCTTTCCTTCTTCTTCCCTCCTTCCTTCTCTCTCTCTCTCTCTCTCTCTCTCTCTCTCTCTCTCTCTCTCTCTCTCTCTCATTTTTGCTTTGTTGTGTTCTTCCAAGACAGGGTTTCTCTGTATAGTCTTGGTTGTCCTGAAACTCTCTGTGTAAACCAGGCTGGCCTCGAACTCACAGAGATCCACCTGCCTCCGTCTCCCGAGTGCTGGGATTAAAAGCGAACACCACCATGCTTGGCTTTGATGTATTACTTCTCTTTTGTTATGATAAGACACCGTGACCACGGCAGCTTATGATTTGGGACTTACATTTCCAGAGGAGTAGAAACGGTCGTTACCATGCCAGTGAGCATGGCCACTGGCAGGGAGCGCTGGAGCAGCAGCTCAGCACTCACATCCGCGCCCACAAACAGGAAACCGCAAACTGGAGAAGCGAGAAGCTTTGAAACCTTAAGCCTGCCCACAGTGACGCACTTCCTCCACTAGGGCTACACCTAGTGATCCTTCCCAAACAGCGGCAACAGCACCAAGAAATGCCAGAAACTTATTGAGGGGGCATCTCATCTCATTTAAACCACCACACTTGACCATGGTCTTTATCACAACAATAGGAAAGTAACTAAGACACGTGATGGGTTTTTGTTTGTTTTTTTGTTTTTGTTTTTGTTTTTTTGGGGAGGAGGTGGTTTCTGGTTTTTTGAGACAGGGTTTCTCTGTAGAATAGCTCTGATTGTCCTAGAACTCACTTTGTAGACCAGGCTGGCATCGAACTCACTGAGGACCACCTGCCTCTGCCTCTGTCTCCCAAGTACTGGGAATAAAGGCGTGCACCACCACCTCCCGGCCACATAATGTTTCTTGATTGGATGTTCTTTATAAGAGTAGAACATAGCCAGGTGCTGGTGGTGCACACTTTTAATCCCAGCACTTGGTGGCCAGAATTGGGTGGATCTCTGAGTTGGAAGCCAGCTTGGTCCACAGAGTGAGATCCAGGACAGCCATGGCTACACAGAGAAACCCTGTCTCAAAAAAAAAAAAGCTGAAGCATCCTAACGAAACATCTTAAAATAGATTGTTGCTGGGCGTTGGTGGCGCACGCCTTTAATCCCAGCACTCGGGAGGCAGAGGCAGGCGGATCTCTGTGAGTTCGAGGCCAGCCTGGGCTACCAAGTGAGTCCCA